AGTCAATTTTTCCTCTCTGAATGCAGTACCATGCAGTAAAATGGTATTGTTATTATCCTGCCAGCTTCTTAGCACAGTGAACATTTGTCTCATTTGACTAACAAACTGCTGCAAATATTGCAAAGGAAATAATAAGACTGACAACAGCTCGTTTAATAATGGTCATTTGCTTTATACACAGGTTGAAATAATTTAAAATACATCCAATTCTTACAGATAGCATTTCTTGAGGACACAGTGAAATTGTCTGGGTGAGCAGTCATGCTTTTCAGACTGATCTGCTGACAGAGGAGGGGAGTCTGGCTGAATGACTCTGCTTTTTTCATTTGTGAGTGTTCATGAGTCAGGGGTGGTGACTGAAAACCATAACACGAGCTCCTGAGGGCTGGGTATCCCAGGGAAACCCTGGGCTTCTGGGGAGTCAGGGTAAAACCTCTTCTGGAATGTCTAGGGGGGATTATTGCAGAATTTCAAAGAAATAGTAAATTAAAATATTATTTCACAGTTCAGTTGGAGACTGGGAATAAAAAAACACAACCAAGGACAAACCACCCCCAAGAAAAAAATCCAAACCAAAACAAAAAGCAGGGGAAGGAATAACTTTTTATGTATTAAAAAGTTTGAAAAGTATTCTTTGAATGTAGTTTTATGCGTGTTTTTACCTTCAGGAAACTGAAGCAGTAAGTCCAGATCTACCTGGACTCAGCTTCAGTTTTATTCCTGGACTTCCCCTCCTCTCTGGGAGCTGTTGTTTGTGAGCATTTCTGTGTGTAAATGAACTGCAGAGATCAGTCTGATGCTCGTTAGCACTAAGGCATTTTATATGACTTTGCCAATGGAAAAGAGGTCATAAAGCTCTGATATAAGTCTTAATTCATCAGAGCTCTGTGGTGATATATTTATGAATAAAAATTGGCTCCAACATCCCCGCTGTAGCTGATAATAAAGACAATTAATAGATTAATGTGTCATGTGGAGAAGATCATTATGAGACTGCTCACTGTCTCCTAATGGATGGCAGGAGTCTCCCAGGTAGTTTTAAATGTATTAACTTTAACTGTAATAATCATATATATAAAAAACTGTTTTTCCCCCTGTCTGTACTTTTTTATATATTCTCTGAAAACTTTACTAAAATTCAATTAAAGTGCAACTAAGCTTTGTTACCTGCTGTTGGTTTTTTTTAGAGGATCTTTTAAGTGCTTGCAGTTCTTGCTGCACATTGGACTTACAAGCTAAAACACGCCTGTTAAGGACGAGGTGTGGGTTGTAAAGGTTGTCTAAAACACTGTTTAGTGGCAGGTTCTTGCTGTTTTGTGAAAACTTGACTGCCAATGGAATATTCAGATATTTTTGCTGTCTTTGGGTTTGCATTGAGGGTTGCCTGTAATGTTAAATCCCTTCCTAAACCAGCCAGTGATGTGAGCTGGTGCTGCTGGGTTAATGTGTAATAGGGATATTCCATAAATAATCCCTCACCACAGGCAGGGAGCTCTGGGAGGAGGAATTGGAGGTGTTGCTGGGAGACAAGTGCTGCTCAGGGCTGCTGCCTGTCCCTGCTGTGTGCCTTTCCTGGCATCCCTCCTTGCTCATCCCATGCCCTGGAGCTGCAGAGGGTTTCATGGGGAGCAGTTTCCTCCAGCTCTGTGCCATGGGGAGGGACTGTGCCCTGCCCTGGACTCACCACCTGCAGCACACTGGGATTACCAGCTGGGTTTGGGGAATTCATGAATGTAGATGGGCTATTTCTGAGCTTTATTCAGTATAAGGGCAGGTATTTCCCTAAGAAATCCATGGTGAGAGCAGGCACCAGTCCCTGTTTGGAGCCCCTGGGTATCAGGCCCTTTGCAGAAGCTGCTGTGACACTCTGGCCCAGCAGTCTTGAAATCTTGCATGGCTTTTGACTCCAAGATAAGCAATTTGTCACACTCTTGGAAAGCTTAGATCAGCCCTTTCTAGAGAAATATGCTTGTGATGTCTCTAGCAACATGTTCTAGGTTGTGAGTGAACTCTGGCTGGCCAGAGAATAAAAGCTTTAAACTTAATATATGGCCACAGGTCCTGCTGAAGCAGTTCCACAGCATTTAAAGCTGGGTATAAATTACGTTGCCTTGACTGTGTAATTATTATCTTGAAAGCAGTAAAGGCATAATTAGGGGTGTGGGGCCTGAGAAGAGCCTCTTCCACGGCTGCCTGATGTGATAGGGCAAAGATAGGCTCTGTTACACTTTGACTTCACACAAACACATGATTCTTGCCTGTGCATAATGCCAGAGGACGTGTTTGTAACCCACTGTCTCTGTTTTATGTTTCCTTCAAACTCTGCAAACCGGTATTTCCTTGGTCTGAAGGGGTGGGAAGTGTTTCCAGACAGTGCCACAAGTCCACCTTAAGTTTAAGGGTGGTGCAGTTCTGGTGCACCAGTGGTGAGGGTGGGAATGGGAGGGATAGTTACCCACAGCCCTGATAAGAGCTCCTCATCACAGCCTCTTCTACAATGGTTCTTGCAGTGTCTGCTGTCTGAGCAGCTTGTTTTAAAGTACCTGGCCATGAAATGCAGGCAAACTCTAGTTATTCTCAGAGAAAGCTGTAATGGGGAGCTGTACATAAATTGTAGTACTTTACTTGGGTATTATATGTAATATAATTTGTATAATGGCTATAAAATCTCTGGTTTTGCCAGTAATTCTCCAGGATGCACGGAATCCTCAGTAAAGAATGTCCTGTTGCTGTCTGTAACTTTCTCAGCATCTGTCACTATAGAAACACAACTATTAACAGTTTTGTTTTCCTAAGAAAACTTCATATATCCTTAACTAAATCATTACTGCAAAATTAACCAGCGTAAATATCCCAGTAATGTGTTGCTCATCACTTTAACTTTATGATCTGGCATAAAGCTGGAATGTTTCAGATATTTGTGTTGTGCCTCGTTCTGCAGAGCAAACATTGTCCTCTGAAAACCTACTCCTGTCAAACAAGTGGATGTTGGACTGGCCCCAAACTGGGGAGATTTACTGGTCACTGAAGTGAAAGTCAGTGCAGGGGCTCGTTTTGGGTCCCTGGTTTCTGTTGGAAAAGTTGAGGTGACCTGTGCTTTTGGGGGTTTGACCCCTCCTGCTGAATCAAGCTGGGATACTTCGTGTGCTTGGCAGCCTTGGCTGGGCCTTCCCTTAAAAAGTGCCTTTGTATTCTCTAATACATTTCTTCTCTGTAATTGCAAAGTAATCAAACACAGCATATTTATAACCAGTTGTAGGGCTGAAGCTGTGAACAGGGCTTCTGGATAGCAGGGTTTTGTGTGTGCTGCAGGAACACACTGATCACGTCACCAAGTTATCATCCCTCTGACAGGGGAGATAAGGGAAGCTCTCTGTGCTCGGGATTTCCTACTCCTTGTTTTCTGCTCCCCTCCAGAAATTCTGCTGAGGCTCCAAATAACATCTTTGAAGATTTAAAGCCTTCATTTGCCACCATCCGTGGTGTGTGTGACTGAGCTTTTGGGAAGTCCTGGACTGATTTTTAGCAGAACTGATCCTGTAACATGTTAACTGGTTTTTGCTGTGAGACTCAGAGAGATCAGAGACCTGAAGACACGAAGTGTGTGTGTAGCTGAGTTCAGAAACAGAGAGTAAGGCTGTTGGAGCAGCAGCTCATGTCCAAGTTGAGTTTTTAAAGTATGTATTATATGACCAAGGTTGTCCTGCAGAGGAGGTGTGTTCATTGCAGAAGGGGAACTGTTCTTGTCCCTGAGTCCATGTGACACTGGGTGTTTTCTTATCAGCTGGCAGTTCTTGGGCCCTGGTAGGTCTTGCCCACACTGCAGCTCCTGCCAAAACTTGTAGCCACATACAGAAAGGTTATTATAGAATGATCTGGGTTGAAAAGCACCTTAATCATCCAGTTCCAACCCCCTGCCATGGGCAGGGACACCTCCCACCAGACCACGTTGCTCCAAGCCCCGTCCAACCTGGCCTTGGACACGTCCAGGGGTGGGGCACCTCCCAGCTCTTGTACACCTACGAGTCCATGTGGATGTGGTTTGTGTTCACTGTCAGTGTTCCAGGAATGGGCAGGTACCTGTTGTCTGCCCAGGTGTTTTGGGAAGAGCTGGATGCACTCCTGTCTGGGTGGGTGGGTGGGTGGAGCTGGAGCAGCCTGGCTGTGCAGCGGGTTGGAGCAGTCCTCCCACACGGGCTGGTCCCCGTGGGAGGGAGCTCTGTGTTGGTGCTGTCATGGGTGGGCTCCTCTTGCCAGAGCCCACCTTGTACAAGTGCTTACAAGCACCAAATTGCTCAAACCACCATAATCTCTCTCTTTACACCTCTCAGTTCAGACTGTTGTGTGGACAGTGCCTTCCAGCAGGAGTAATATGAAACACACAGATATAAATGCTTTTGTAATGTGTATTTGACAGCACTAAGGGTAAAGCTGAAGGAACATTTGTCTTTGCTTTGGAATGAGCTGCTTCTCCCAGCAGCTGCAGCAGCACCACAGCCTCACCTGACAGGAGCTACACCAGCAACTCTGCCTTCCTGTGTTGGGGGTGATGTGAACAAGGATGTTTTTAGGTGGCTGAGCTTGGATATTGAAGCCTGTTGGATATTGATGGATATTGGATATTGATGTCTGTTGATGCATGGTCTGTGTCTGGGGTGTGTTATGAGTGACTGGACTCAACCTTTGAGCGACTTCTTGGCTCACATCCTTGAGATGAGATCCCATCCATGAGATCTTTCTTTGAGGATGTGCCTGTTGTGCCTGGCTGAGTGTGACAGGCCATGGTCAGGAGACATCTGGCCACCTTGAAACAGCTTTGTTGAAGGAGGCAAACACAAGGGTTTATCTTAGTTTTATCTACTTAGTTTTATCTAGGACAAAGAGTGGACAACTGTAGAACGTTATAAATATTTCCCTGTGCTGAGTGGCACTTGGTGCAAAATCTGAATGGTGTTTTGGGCATAAATCTCACCCATCCCACCCTCCCCTGTGCTGTGCAGCTGCCCTTCAGGCCCTGAAGCGTAAGAAGAGGTACGAGAAGCAGCTGGCACAGATCGATGGCACGTTATCAACAATTGAGTTCCAGAGGGAAGCCCTGGAGAATGCCAACACCAACACTGAAGTGCTTAAGAACATGGGTTTTGCTGCTAAAGCCATGAAGGCTGCTCATGACAACATGTAAGTGATTCCCTTCTGCACCTTTAGTTTGTCATTTGTTTGATCTGCTGAATGCCAAGTGTTTCATGGAGGGGGAGCCAGAGTAGCAAAATCTTCTTTTAAAAGGCTCTAACTTAAACTAAAATGCTAGAAACATTTTTATATTGAACAAAATATGCAAATATGATGCTTCCTCAGTGTACCACCATTTATTCTGGACTCTGCCTTTGTCCAAAAGCAGGGTAGCACCAGTGTAGTCTAAAGCAAATGAGTGCCTGTACCAGTTACAGATCCGCCTGGTGGTAGCCTCAAGGGGAGACTTAAAAGTTCTTTTCTGTGCAGTGGAGTTGGTATATGTAGCAATAATTAAAGGTAAACTGCATTATGGGAACATTGTGCTTGCTCCAGAAGCAAATATTGTGGCTGTAATAATGCTGAATCAGGAAAGAGAGCAAATTCTTATTAATACCAGTAGTGCAGAACAAAACCCCTTCGTTGGTGTCTCTGTGTCACTGCTGCAGGCTAAGCTTGTTGGAAAGGGCAAAAAAACCATGTTTCATTGTGTTCAGACCAGGGGGATAAAACTCAGACTTGCATGCAAAGAGTGTTTTGGGAAAGGGCCTTGTGAATGTCACTGTGGTGTGGCATTTCTACAGAACCCAAGAATCACAGTCTGAAGTGTTGATTGAGAACGTGCCTGATGACACTGAATTCCTTCCTTTCTTTTACAGGGATATTGATAAAGTAGATGAATTAATGCAGGACATTGCAGAACAGCAGGAGCTGGCAGATGAGATTTCAACAGCCATCTCAAAGCCAGTAGGATTTGGGGAGGAATTCGATGAGGTATGTTTTGAATTTGCTTCTGTTTGTATCAGTGAGTACAGAATCCATTGGGTTGGAAAGCCTTCAGATGATCAAGTCCAACCACTGCCAGGGCCATCCCTAACCCTTGTCCCTGAGCAGCACATCTGCATGGCTTTCAAATCCCTCCAGGAACTGTGACTCTGGTGAGATCTTTCTTTGCAGATGTGCGTGTTGTGTGTGTCTGGGTGTTCTCCTGGGGTATGGAATGTTGTTGTAGCTGTTCCCACCAGTGCAAACAGCAGCTGTGACTCAGGCTTTAGGCTGAGAATGGTCTGGATGGCCTGACCTGAGAATGTTTGGACTTAGATTTCTCCTTCCCTTCATCATGTACAGGAATTGATAACAGTCAGACTCCTCATTTCCTTGATTTGCTTCAATCCTATAATTTAAGCTGTTTTCTTTAATAATATGATCAGCTAAGTCTACTTTTTGATAAATATGACTTCAAGTTCCTTCCTTTCTTTTTTTCTCCTTTAACAACCTAGGATGAGCTCATGGCAGAACTAGAGGAACTAGAACAAGAAGAACTAGACAAAAACTTGCTGGAAATCAGTGGTCCGGAGACAGTACCACTACCAAACGTGCCCTCAATATCGATACCCTCCAAGCCAGGTAGGGATGGACCTTTGCCTGAAGCATTTTGGATTGTTAAAAGTGTGGTTTTTCATCTGCCAGCTCCTTGGACTGGGGAGATCTGACTGCAGGCAACACAGACATTTTGCTTGAAATTGGTTCCTGAATCCCAAATCCCATCCAGTGCCATTTCTCTGGAGGGGAGAACCTGCCTTTCACAAGCACCAGGAAAATCACTCCCTGGTACAGGAGCAGTTATTGTCTGCTCTGGCACTCCCAGCTTCTCTGCAGCCTGGATGATGCTCAGGGAAGAGTGGAGGTCTGGAAAAAGGGAGCCTTTTTCCAGGTGCTGCCTAACAGGGATGTAACCTTGACAAACATACCAAGGCTGTAAAAGGGAGTGGAGAATAAAGTAACTCTGGAAATTAGAATCACAGGATGGTTATGGTTGGAAAAGACCCCCAAGATCATCCAGCCCAACCATTAGTCCCAGGCTGGTTTGGATTCCCCCATGGAATCACTTCTTGCTGCTGCTTTGGTGTTTGATTTGATCCCTTCTTTTCTGGCTTTTGGGAGGATCCACCCTCGGGGTCCCCTCTTTGGGGAAGGCTGTTGCCTCCTGTGCAGTTTGCATCCAGTCCTCCCAGTCCTCCAGCACAAATATCCAGGGAATTGCAGTTAGTGTGAGGATTTTAGATGGAGAACAAGCAACAAATGTTTTTGTTTACAGAGTCAGTCCAAAGCTGCTGTTCCATCTGATCTGATCCCTGTGGTAGGAAGGGAAGTGGTACCTCCTGGAATACAGCTGAGTTGGGACACCTCTGGCAGCATTAATGGGATATGAGGCTTTGCAAGCCTGTTTTGCTGAGTCTCCTGAATGTATTATGGATAAATTGTAGACTTTGCAGCTCTATTCCATGTCCTTACTTAGGAAAAAAGTCCAAAAAGCTAGTGAGTGAAAATAATCCCAGTTGGTTGCTGTATCTGTAATTATCCTGCTGCCTTTCCAGGCTTGGATGGACGTGGGAAGCAGCAGGCACTGCCAAACCCAAGGTTCTGCTTTATGTGCCATTGCTCCTCATGTGTTACAGTCCTTTTGACATCATTGATTTTGTGTTTTTCCAGCTGTATTTTGCAGAATTGCTGACCAGGGTTGATGAGAGGGGGCTGATTTGTATTGAAATACCCTAAATCAGAGACTTTGCCTAGACTTAGATCCAACAGCAGGAGAAAGAGGTTAAATAAACCTGTGAAACTTACTGAAACTTCCCAAAATAACAAAAACAGGGAAGGTTTTCGTAGTAAAAATTCTGAGCATAAAGCTCAGTGTTTTATAGGATTTATGCTAAGCTGCTTTTGGATGGAAACTAGAATTCCACTAATGTATTTAAATGTCATGCTGCTTTTTGCTTCAATAAAGCTGCCTCCAAGACTGGCACTTGGGAAGATTTGGGATTCTGGGGTGGTGGTGGGTGGGGATTTTGTGTGGATTTATTTTTTTAACCTAAATTGGTTTTCTCTTAGAATTGACTTAATAAACACTGGGAATAAAAGTTTGCTTGTGGTCACCATGGGTTGAACTTCCAAAGGGAATATTTCCTTAACAATGCAGGTTCATGTGTAATTATTTTGGGAATAAGTGATGTGTCTTTTGAGGTAGAGATGACTCTGTTACCTCCTTTTTATTCATGAAATGAAAAATGAACACGAGCTTTCCTGCTTTTCCAGCTCTCAGGAGCTGTCTGGATTTTGACTTTAATCACTCTGAATGAGGAATTTTTTGCTCTTGCCACCAACTGGGTTGAAGTCAGGAGAAATTCAGGCAAAAGCTGGTTTTGTTTAATGGAGGCTGGAAGAGCTTCATATAGAAAAACAAATCCCAAATTTGTGCAAATGAGAGAGGTCTTGAGCTTGACTTAAGAGCTGACTCAGTTCTCTTTGTGTCAGTGTTTCATTTGGAATGACACAAACCAGTTGGAGTATGAATTATTTGACTTCCCCCCCCTTGAAGCAAAACGACTCTCTGAGGAAATGACATCTTTTATTGGTATTTTCCAAAATTATTGCAGCTGTTTTTGGGTTAAAACCATTTTTGCTGAGTTAATGGAAACTGGACTTGTCCCATGATGACAAATAGCAGCATTTGCTCTTCTGGAAGGAGCAGAAATGATGAGAAGGCAGCATTTAGGCTGCTGCCTCCCATCCACATCCCTCAGCTGCCAGGGGAGTGGGAAGAGGAGGGGAATGGGATGTTCCCAGGGCTCTTCAGCCCCTCCAGGAGCCTCAACTGACACGGGGCTGGAGGCCCCCAAATTCTGTACCTGCCTGACCAAACACAGGGACCTCATTTGTTGTACTTTGAGGACTTTATGGTGAAATAAGGGATTTATTTTTAACGGAGAAGAGATTGTGATAGTGGAGACATCAGATGAATTTCTGTAAGAAACTGCATCCCTCTGAGAGGAGCTTCTGCTTGCAGGCTTGGAGATGATGGGAAAACATCACACCTTAACCTTCATGTACATTTGTATTCTTCCTGTGTGAGCTACTGTCTTTTCCTACCAGAAGTGGGAATATCAGGCAGTTCAGCCCATGCTGGCTCTCTCACAAGGCTCCTTTTATTTCAATTCAAGGAGATTTTGTGTATTTTTTGCCCTCTGCTGGCATTTGGTGCTTCATTTACTGGTTTGTCAGTGGCAGAGAGGCCACTGGGTTCTGTCAAGATTCCTACTCACCTGTTTTCTTTCTCTGTTTTGCAGCCAAGAAGAAAGAGGAGGAAGAGGACGACGACATGAAAGAGCTGGAAGCTTGGGCAGGAACCATGTAACCACAGCAGTAACTGCCTGGAAAAAAAAGACTTTGATTACCTATTCTGGGTACAAATGTGTTGTGTTGAGGAGAAAGCATAAGCAAAATGTCTTTATCTTTTAATTTTAACCCAGAGCAGTGGGAACTGCATTGCTGTTTTCTGCATAGCATGGTCTGCACAGAGGAAAGAAGGGGGAGCAGGGGGAGTTGCCTGCAGTCGATACGGTTGAATTTCTGTACAAAGGTCTTTGCAAAATTCAAACATTCAGCTTTTGGACTGTGCTACTGCCACTGCTGGATCTTCAATTTGGGCCATATTGAATCGAAATAAGCTGAATAATAAAAAAACAAAACACTCTCTGTAATTTTAAGTCAGTCTAAATGTGTCTAGAAGTCTTGTAAGGCATTTAAAAACCAGGAAAAGTCCTAAAGCCACCGTTGGCTTCTTATTGTGTTTTAGGTGCAAGAATGCTTTAGGTTTTTAGTTTTTGCCAGTTATATTTATATCCCTTGACTGATGTGTGGCCAAGGCTTGTGTTTGTCACCGCCAACGATGTAGTCACTGTTCCCATTTTAATTGGTGATGATGATTTGCAATTGATAAACGCTCTGTTGGACATAGGGAAGATCTCAAGTTCAGTTGTACATTTTTCTACATAGCACTACAATGTTTATTGCTTTTTTTTTTTTGTGATAATTGATAACCCATTCAGATACATGCACACAATTATTTTAATTAAGAAACTACTATGGATTGCACTGTATTAAATATCTCGATTAATTTTCACCCGTGGCTGCCGTTGTCGATTCTGTGTCGTGTTTGAGCTGCAGGAGGAAACAGGGAGGGTCAGGTTGGACCTGGGGAGGAATTCCTTCATGGAAAGGGTTGTCAGGCATTGGAAGGGGCTGCCCAGGGAGGTTTGGAGTCCCCATCCCTGGAGGTGTCCAAGGAAGGACTGGATGTGGCTCTCAGTGCCCTGGGCTTGGGGGACAAAGTGGGGGTCAGGCACAGACTCTTTGATCTTTCCAAACTTAGTGATTCAATGATTCTATTTTGTGTCAAAATCCCCCCACTGAGGAGAAATCAGAGCTGAATCAGCAGTAGAAGCGACAGGTTTAGAAACAGAGCTGGGGATTTGGCTTTATATTTTTTGTTGTGGAAATGATCTCTCTCGTGCACTGTGCTAACAAATGTATGTTAAAGCAGCAGTGTTTTCTGCCAGGAGTGGTGGGTGAGCATCTCACACACAGTGGAGTGTCCCAGCAGGAGCACTGTGGTGTGGCTGGGAGAGGGTAAAGCAATCCCATCAGCTCCATTAGTGCTTTAAGGTTCCTGGTGTGGGAGCTCAGGGACTGTGAGTGGCAGAGGCACCACCTGGCAGCCCAGCTGTTCCCTGGGATGTGTTTGCTTTCCTGTTCATTCAGCTTTAACTAAACAAAGGCCCTGCTTTGCACAGCAGGAGGAAATGCAGCACTGAGGGTGTGCTGTGGTTCCTGGTTACCTTTAACCACACAGCAAGGACAGCCTCAGTTCTGACTGAGGTTCTTACAACCTCTTTTTTTTCTTGATTCTTTTAATAAACAATGGGGTGGTTTCTTAATCCTGCAGTTTATTAATACAATGGCTGAGGACTGATCACCTTTCTGCTTTGGATATCAGCTCTTTGATCTGCTGCATAATGTCAGTGAACAGCTCTGCCTTGCTCACACTCACTCTGAGGCAGAACTCACCTGCACAGAGCCCCAGGGGCAGTGGGGAAGGAGCCAGCTGTCCGTGCCAGCAGTGTCTGTAGCTGTCCCTCAGTGCCCAGGGTGTCCCTTTCCTGGGAGAGGCAGTCCAGTTCCTGTTGGAAACTGTTCTCAACTAACTTGCCCTCATCAGACAGCTCAATTCACAGCTGTGTCAGTGCTTTCTTATGGAGCTGTTCAAGGAAGCAAGCAGAAATCTGGGATCCAGGGGGTTTCAGTGTGTGGTAAATCCTTGTTTTTCCCTACAGGGAAGGTGGAAAGCACTATCACTATTGCTGTACTAAAGCAGGGCAAAAAGTTGTGGATTCCTCATCCCTGGAAGTGTCCAAGGCCAGGTTGGACAGGGCTGGAGCAACCTGGGCTAGTGGAGGGTGTCCCTGCCCATGGCACGGGGTGGAATAGGATGAGATTTAAGGTCCCTTTCAACCCAAACATTCCATGAATCCGTGAAAAATACAGACTGGGCTGAAGGACCTCATCCCTGATTCCCCTTGGAATGATTTCAGCCTTGTACAGGGGGAGGGGGTGTTGTCTCTGCCGTGCAGGTGGAGAAACCAGGCCCTGGCATTTGCACTTGGTCCTGAGGGAAGCACAGGGCCAGGAGGGTCAGAAAAGGATTTTGTGTTGTGTGTTTGGGTTGGGGGAGTCAGGCCAGAGACCCCTGTGTGGTGTGTGCTCCAGGCTCAGAGTTCAGCCACGCCAAGGATCTGTGTTTGTGCCTCTGGAACAGAGTGAACACTCAAAGAGCACTTGGAAAAGCTGGGCCAGAGAGTGGCTGAGGTGGTTTGCTGATGCTAAACCTCAGCAGACATCCTTCTCCAGGGCTGGAGGGCCCTTGTGTTGTACACCCATGGGGGTATATCCATTATCCTGCTCCCTCCCAGAAATAATGGAAATCCATACTCTGCCCAACACTGCCTGCCATGAACCTGATCTCCAGTGCCACTGGATCTGTACCTTTCCAGGGGTATAAATGGCTTTTCTGTGCCCTTCCTGCTCTTCTCTCCCAGAGATGCTCTTTCCTCTTTAAAGACACAGACATTTAACTGCAAGAACTTTCAGTGCAATGTTCAACAGGCAGGGAAGGGGGAGCTCCATCAGCCTCTGGGATGGCAAATCGATCTCCAGTTGCTTAATGGGTGATTTGTTAGTCATGTGTTAGTAATGGGTTGTGGGGAGGGCCTCGGTGGGACTTACCAGTGCTGGGAGCTCTCTGGGGAGCCTTTGGCCTCACATGGGTACAGAGGGTACCAGGGACCCCCTCAGGGTGCAGGGGGGAACAGTCTGCTCACCAAAATCTATAATTTACTACCTGGTACTTGAAGCATTTGAGGGAAAGCACAACATCTCCAGAAAAAGCCATCGGACCCTTGTCTGCTCCTCCTGCGAGGAAGTGTCCCCTGAAGTGAGTGCCTGTCCCTCATGGACCTCCTGTGGGCCAAAGGTTTTGCTGCTGGACACGTTGTGGTGCTCACAGATCTTCCTGCTCATGGTCTGTGCTGTGTCAGCAAGGAAAACAGCTCCAGTGCTGGGAGAGGGAAGAGCTATTTGTGTCCTGCTGCAGCTTGAGGGTGTCACATCCAACTTGGATGAAGCTCCACACATTGACAGCTGTGTCCAGGGAAATCCCTGGCTGTGTCCAGTGGGTCAGGCACAGCTCCAGCACCAGCCACAGTGGCATGAAAGGGGCTTATGGCTCTGGAAAGGAAAAATTGCACAGCTCAGGAGGGTGAATGTGGGCGTGGTGGGAGCCAGGTGGATTTTTGAGAGGGGCCAGCCTACAGGCTGGGCTGTGTTTGTCCGTGCTGTGATGGGAGGAGCAGGAATGCTTTCCCAGCTCTCCAGGAGCTGCTGCACCCTGTGCATGCCCAGAACACGGCATTTCATTAGCAGTGACAGGTCACGGCTGCCACTTAGTGGCATAAATCAGCTGCCACTCTTCCCCTGGGGCCTTCCTTTCCCCTGTCTGCAGTGCTGGCTGTCCCCTCTGCCACATCCTCCCTTCCTGTGCCATCTCACCTCTGCTTGTAGTGCTGGATTCCCTCAGGACCTGGTCCTGATCTGGGGCCAGCTGACCTTGTTCTGCTGCCAAATAAACCCTCTCAGCAGCTCTCACAGCAACACATCCTTGCCCCAACCTTGTCTCATGTGAGTTACTGTCTGGTTATGCTGCCCCTCATTTTCCTGACCCTGACCCTGGACTCCTTCCCGTGTTTCTCTGCAGGGCTCTCTCACAGGACTGAAGGGTGCTGTGGTGCTGGTTCCCTTGGGAGCAGCCCCTGTGGGTGCTGTGGGGCCTGTGCTGTGCCAGAGCTGGAGCTGGGAGCCCCTGCCTCGCTTGCTCTGGAGGGAGATCGGGGCTGTCACCAGATTTTGGCACTGAACTGCTGTTTTCTGGCCAGCCTGGCCTGGAGGTCACAGCTGCTCGTGCTTCTCTCCTCCTCCTCCTCTCTACCTCAGACCTACCCTGCCTGCACACTCTTGAGCCCCATTGTGGACACCCCCCAGATGCTCCTGTGATGCTGCAGCTCCTCCATCCCCCCCCAGGGTGCCAGGGCCACCTCTGTCACAGCACTGCTGAGTGCTTAACAGCACAGGGATCCAGAAAGCACAGCAGGCTGGGTGCCCCCTCAGCTGCACCGGGGTGGCCCCTCTCTCCCCGGCTCCCTGGGATGCACTGGGGGTGTCTCCCCACTCTGGGGGTGCCCCCAACCTGTGCCAGGTTACTGTGGGGTCACTGTGGCACTGTGGTGTCAGCCCCACGGGTGCCACCACTGATTACAACTCTCTCTCATCCCTTTGCAGTTTGTGAATTTTAAATCTCAGCCCTCCCAATAAAACCACTCAGCTTCTTGAAGCCCCTGAATGCAGCGCGTTCATGGAGTTACCCTGTAAGGATGGGTTTGTTCTCACTCAAGAGGTGTGACACCACTAATCAATAGAACAGGTTAAACTCTTTATTAGGGCTCTGAGAGCACCTGCAGGTTGACATTTGTATGTGCTGCTCAGCACTCCCTCTCTCCCCTGCTCGTTATTTTTATCATTATTTTGGTTCTTAGGACAAAATTGCACTCTGCTCATCTGGAAAGCTCTTGCCCTTCTAAATCCTGCTCGTGTTTGGCTGATGCTCAGCCCTGTGGCAAATAAAAGAGCTCTCTTGACTTACTTTTCAAACATCAAGGTCCATTAAATCAAAGTGATGCTTTCCAGACCTTGTGGCTCTCGGCAGCTCAGCCCCATCCCTCCCTCCCTCCCTCCCCTGGCTCCAGGCCTTGAGCTCTCCTGGACATCTCCTGAGCTGCTCAGCTGGCAGGATTTTGGGGCCACATTTAGGTGTTATCAAAGGTTTCCCTTGCCTTGACAGTGCTGTGGGAGCTCAGTGACATCCTCCTACATGTCACCTCGGAACTGTGGCCGAGAACTTCCCTTACTGGCTGTCCCATGGCTGGGAGAGAGGGATAGGTGGTTGGATCCAGCTGGATTTGGGGCTGCTCATGTCCCCCTTCTGCTGTTCTTGGTTCCTCCTGCCCTTTGCTGAACTGTTCAGCTGCACTTGTGCTCCTGCTCTTGGTCCCCATCCTGCTCCATGGCTGGCTCCATGTGGGCACTGGGAGGAGGTTTGGCAGAGGGATCTGGTCAGCAGGAAACAGGGACAAGACACGCAGGGCCAAATGGCTCAGACAGATCTTCCCCATCCACGGTGAGTTCTCAGAAATCACTGCAGCTCCTGTCCCTTGGGACTCACCCCTGGGCATTAGGGAGGAGAGATGGCTTTGGGATTAGGTGGAACAGAGACTTCTAGGGCTTCCTAGGGCCCTGGGTTGGCAGCACTCTGGCTTCAGGATCCTGAATGTCCCAGGCACCAGAGGAGTTTAGGCTGGGCTACCAAGCACAAAAGTACAACCAAAAAGCTTGTCCTGCTGCCCTGGATTGTCCCATCCTCTCTGCTGCCCTTGCACAGAGTCCCACAATGGTTTGGGTTGGAAGGGACCTTAAAGCTCATCTCATCCCACCCCCTGCCATGGGCAGGGACGCCTT